GAGTAAGAGAAATCTACAGAATATTGAGTCTTGAAATCCCTGTGTCTCAAAATGAGATGTTGTAAAAGTATGCATAAGATCAAGGTGGGTGTGTTTCTCTGTTGTGACTGGTCTGGCCAGGTTGTCGGCGATTGGAAAAAAACAGATGCAAATGATGCGTAATGGTTGAGTGGATCGTGCGTTTCACTTGTCAATACGGGTGATTCACAATAGTGCGCCATCAAGAGTTTTCAACACGTGTGCCAATCATAAGGCGCGAAATTTGTTGACCCTCTCCAAATGCGTATTGGGTTGACAAATTTTGCACATTGTGATTGGCCAACGCGCTGCAAACTCCTGGTGGCGCACTATTGTAATGTCATGTAATGTCAGCATGAGTCGAGTTCAATCATATTTTGTATGTGTCTTCTGAGCCTATTTCAGTCCTGTTGAGGTTTGCGTACTCTGTAGAGACGGTCAGAGAAAAGGGTTCATGTACATTTGGATGGATTATTTTCCCTTGCAGGTCTGGTGACTTGACTTCTCTTGCTGCTAAATTGTCAAGTACTCAGATCACATCACCTGCCAAGGCCAGAAGCACACCGGGTAAGGAAAAATCAATGTTTTCAGTTAAACACAGACTTTTCTCTTGAAGTTTTCAAACATATTGTAAATTTGGGCTTGACACAAGACTACTTGAAGGCCTTTATTTTGGTCTGTATTAACAAGACAAGTTGATGAACGTCAGCATTGATAATTTGTGTTACTCCATTCTTGTAAGTTGCTTTACTTTGAATGATCTGAAATTCTCACCAAAACATTTTTTGGTGTTGTTAGGCCAAGACGTGATCTCTATCAAGGCAAATAATTTTAGTTGTCAATAACCAAAATTCTTGCTTTGATATCCCAGTCTCCAGCAAGAAACAAGCTCAGTTGAGGAAGGCCCTGTCCAGAAGAGCAACTACCCCAAGACGCACTGCTTCCAAAGGTATGGTACCAAATACCAAATTCCTCTACCATGATGTTCCTCCACCCCCAAATCCCCGAAAGTCTCGAGCTTTAGTTTGGACCTGTCTAGGATCAAGCTTCCTACTAACCTGCTTGGGGGCCATCTTAACTGTGATCGGGCAACCTACATTTGTACCGTTATCTGAAGGGTTGAAAAGTTGACCGTCCCTTCAGCCTCCAACAACAGACTTGCATACTCAGCCTATACTCAGCCAATCCCCAGGCACGCGGCCTGTTGTAGTCATGAGCGCTCTGTGGCTGGACCATTGGAACATTGTAAATTGTGCAGGTGTGGTGAGAAATATTTGTTTACTATGCAAATGACTTGGAGGGACCAGCTTTTGTAGCAGTTGGGCTGCATTTCAAAAGTTAGCTGATATTTCTTACCGTATCTTACCTTAACCACTTCCTGCCGGGGATTCAGGATCGGATTCAGGCGTGGCCGGGGTCTCCGAACTCGGACAAAGGGAACAGGGCCTTGTAACAAAAGACTGACCAGGCTGCTGGGCATTACCAACATTTTTTCACTCTCAAAAGTGGAGATAATCCAGCCTTGTTTTGAAACAGTATACCACGGTTTAGGGCATTTAGAGCGAGCGGATTACGCCGGGGACAAAAGCGCTCCACCACCGCAGCGATGAGCCACATTGCACCACTGCATGCTAATCTGGCCCCTATTGAAAAGAGGTCAGCAGCACACCCAGCCAGGTTCGTGAACAAAGAAAGTTCAATAATTAACAATCTGAGCTCTTTTTACAAGGCTGCAGGCCTGGCTGAAATACTCAGGCGTCAATAGATTTTGTCAGGCTAGAGGGGCCACCAGACAGTCCTTCATGTGTTTGTAAGTGTCCAGTAAATGAAGATAGGAATTTTTAAAGAATTTTGAAAACAGAAAAAAATGATAAATATCCCGGCCCAGCATCATCGACATTGATAACTCCCCCGGCAGGAAGTGGTTAAAGTTGGTCAAAAATAACACCACAAACAAGTGGTTTATAAAAGCTTCTCGGACTTGTATTCTCCTTAGTCGACCTGTCAGGACTGACATCCCCAGCTCTGAGCCACAGCTCCCAAGAGAATCTCTCCCCAGCCCTCACCAGCCGTCGCCTCCGCTACCCAGACGAGGAACCCAGGCAGCCGCAGCCAGCTCGCAGAGAGGCCATCGATGTCTCGGACGTCCCGGACTTCAGGATACCGTCAAGCTTCGGTCAGACCAAGCCCGGCGGTGGTCTTGTGCCACTGGTGGGTGTGGCTGGACAGCGATTCCTGGGGGCGGAAGCAACGAGTGACAGTATGAAAGAGACAAGACAGCTCACTGCGGGTAAGCACTCATTGACAATCTGTAAGAGACTATATGCACATGTCGGCTATCTTGAGTTGAAAGTGAGTTAACTTTTCATTTTGAAAACTTGATAGTAAAATAACAGCGACAAAATGAAAGTTCAAAACAAATTCGTCTCATTTTTTTGTCAAAAAATTTTAAATTTTGTGATCAATTACCTCAAAATGTTCAAGCCACCTTTAAAAAAAACTGAAAGTGAGGTGTGAAATAGTCTGACACCATCGCATTTAACAGATAATCTTAAATTTGATAGATTCAGGGAACAAGATAAAACATGGTTTCCCCATAATATGGTCTTTTGGCCAGTTTGTGTCTTATTGCGGTAAGTTTTTGTAGTCCCATGACAACGTCATGTTTTGATTTGTTGGATGTTCCAGTTAACCTTAGACAGTAGCACAGAAACCAACTCTGTCGTCACTGGTGCCCATCATCTCTATTAAAAAGTCATGGTAAAATATCTTGCTCAAGGACATAAGAAGTTCGCCGGTCTTTTACCATTCTTAAACCATCATTCTTATGATGGTGACATCAACACTACACGGTCTTTACAAGTGAAGTCCACAGTGAGTCATGTTTGTTGCTGAAGCAGACTTGAATGTTAAATTTGTGATGTCTGGGTACAATTCACTTCCCCAATATTTTGCAGCAAGTGGGGAGTGACAGCAGTTGAACTGATGGTACACCGTTTCTGATCACGGCAGGTCTTTTTTTCGACAAATGAGCGGAAATGCAACAGTGAAAAATAGTTGCAAGATTATCCTTTCTGATAGCTATGTTCACCATTTCAGCTGCAACTCCTGCACCACCGTCAACCTACCCAGAGCCCACCCCCTCATCCTCCACCCAAGCTTTGCCTGTGGCCACCACCTCCCCGTCTAGTTTCACCCATTCTGGGCGCGGCACCGTCATCTGGGGTTCCCAGACCACCCCAACAAAGACTCAACCTTCAACAAGAGCTCCACCCAACAGTGCAGTGCTGAGGAAGGTGGTAGAGAAACCGCCCGATCTGCCTCCGGTTGTGAACATCAAAAACTTTTCTCAGACCACCAAACCTCCTCCAGTGACCTTTGCACCTGTTAACAGGTAATTATGGCAGTTGAAGAGTTACTGGCAGGTTGACTGATTGTTTGTGTGGAAGGTTGAGTGACCGCCTGGTTTACTGGATTGCTAATTATGGAATAATGCCAGACTAACAGGCAAATTGCTGGCTACTGAGCTGACATGTTTTTCGTCAGAGTGGTTGACTGAGTTTCACTCTCCTGTTGATTAAAAACTGGGTGGTTAGTTGGCAGACTAGCTGGTTAGTTTACTTTTTTGCCAGCTCGTAAGCTGCCTAGTTGGCTGACTAGCTGGTTAGTTTACTTTTTTGCCAGCTCGTAAGCTGCCTAGTTGGCTGACTAGCTGGTTAGTTTACTTTTTTGCCAGCTCGTAAGCTGCCTAGTTGGCTGACTAGCTTGTAGGTTAGCTGGTCAGCTGTCTGGCTGACTGGCTGGCGAGCTGATAGTTGACTGACTAATTGTTTGACTAGCTGGCTGACTTAATGACCGATTGACTGATTGACTGGCTGGTTTGCTGGCTGGCTGGCAAACTCAACTAGCTAGTTAGCTACCTGACAGTCTTACTAACTACCTTCCTGCAAACTTGCTGATTGGCTAGCTGATTTGCTAGCTGATTGGCTAACATGATGTTGTTTAACTTTGACACTTATGTCAAGGCAGTTATTTCTATTTGTTTTCATTCAATCACATGTAGTTCTGTGGATGCAGGCACAGCCAAGGTTGTCAACCAAGTCCTAGCTGAGGTGGCAAAGACCAGTGGTTACTCCCAGCCCGAAGCAAGCGCAGACAGCTCGGTCAGTTCTTTAAGAAATTTCTCTCTTCATCTCATCTACCCATTGATGGTATCAATCTCGATTAATCACTCTACATGAAAATGAAAAATATTTTCTTTCCAAATATTTTCTTTCTTACAGAAAATTCAGGACAGAAAGATCAGTTTCTCAGATGAGCCTCCCCCTTTCGTCCAACCTTTCCCGCCGTCCAAACCGGCCTTAGATAAAACCGCAGGCAGTGGAGCTGTTGGATTCAATTCGGGTTCCACCAAGCCCCCTGCAGTGCAATCACTGCCTGCCAGCATGTCTGTTACCCCACCTGCTGCCACCACATCCACTCTGGCATTCAGTGGGTCTTCCACTGCTCCAGGTCCGACGTTTAGCGGCTCAGTATTTGGAGCCAAAAAGGAAGACTCTTCGACCTCTGCAGCCAGCGCAACGCAACAGGGCTTTTCTGGCTTGTCTTTTGGCAGTGGGTTTGGATCAGCCAGGGCGAACACCCCCAGTTCAACCGTGCCGACAGCAACATCCGCCTTGCCGACTTCGGCCACCACGGCTGCCTCCAAGCCGATGTTTGGGGGAGCAGGTTTTGTAGCTTCTGCATCTAGCACCCCTACAAGTTTGACCTTGTCTCTGGCAACTCCTCAGCAGAGCCCAGCTGCGTCCAGCATCAGGGAATCAGCAGGAGCATCGGCAACCAACATCCCCGGAGTGAAGCCTAGTTTGTTTGACTTCAAGGATCAGAAGTCTGCAGCAAGCACCAGCACTCCTGGAGGGTTCTTCGTTGCCTGTAAGTTTCATCACTTACAAAGCGTCCTCAGCCTCTACAATCTGTCTATCATGGATTGAATGACCTTTAACCACTACCAGCCGGGGACTCCGAAATCGGAGCCGTATGGTTTATATGTGTGGCCGAGGTCTCTGAACTC